GGGCGGGGACCCACGGTTGGCCTCTCTTGCAGCTCTGGGGCATGGAGGGGAAGGAGAGGTGAGGAGAGCCTGCCCCACGCCGCACCTTGGAGCGTCCAGCCTGAGGGGGACCAGCGATGCCTCTGGGGATGAATAAGCATGGATCTCGCTCTACTACCTCTTTGCCTCCGGACCCCACGGAGATCGTCAGGAGCAAGGCCTGCTCCCGAAGGGTCAAGCTCAACGTGGGGGGGCTGGCCCACGAGGTTCTCTGGAGGACCTTGGACAGGTTGCCGCGGACCAGGCTGGGGAAGCTCAGAGACTGCAACACACACGACTCCCTCATGGAGATCTGTGATGACTACAACCTGGAGGAGAACGAGTACTTTTTTGACAGGCATCCTGGGGCATTCACCTCAATCTTGAACTTCTACCGTACTGGCAAGCTGCACATGATGGAGGAGATGTGCGCCTTGTCCTTCAGCCAGGAGCTGGACTACTGGGGGGTGGATGAGATCTACCTGGAGTCCTGCTGCCAGGCTCGCTACCACCAGAAGAAGGAGCAGATGAATGAGGAGCTGAAGAGAGAAGCTGAGACGCTGAGGGAAAGGGAAGGGGAGGAATTTGATAACACTTGTTGTGCTGACAAAAGGAAAAAGCTCTGGGACCTCCTGGAGAAGCCCAACTCTTCCGTAGCGGCCAAGGTAAGCTCTTCACATTTCTTCTCAAGTCTTGTCTGTATTGGCTCATGACTGTGATGATGCTTAAATGAGGTATTGCCCTGCTACCCTTGCTTTGGCATCTGGGCACTTGTGGCTGGCTGGATGCTGTGAGTGAAGGGGAGAAAGGCCTCCCAGATGCAAGCATGGTTTAATGTATCTTTTTTGGGATAGTTTGGAAGGGATATGGTCTGAGCTTCTCGGGGCAGTGTAGGCTGCTCAGCGTGGGAGCAGCTCCAGTGACCCTGGGGTCAGTGTACACTGATTGCTGCAGCTGAAGGTTAGTAGACTTGTTATCTAGTGGCCTGTCTTGGTGCATTTTGTAACAGATTTCTTTGTTTAAGCAGTAGGAGACACCCATGTTTTAGGCCCAAACTGTCTTTTAAGAAGAGGACATCTACTTGAACCTTTAGACCCAGGTCCAGTCAGGAAGTAATGCCTTCTCTTCTAGGGCTTAATTTAAAATACTGTTGTGAAATACATCTAGTTATTTGTATTGTGCACTCCTAGGCTGCAGGTCCACTAAAGCTAGCGTTTGAATTTCATCCTTTGCCTGACTCCAGCTTATTTTAAGTCTCCCTGTGCAATACTGCTGCAGCTCTGTCTCTGTCAATAGTTGAAGTACTGCTTACTCTGAAGTTGGTGCCAGTGCAACAGATCTATTTCAAGGTGTTTGGAAGAGAAGATCCATGTTAGGAGAAACCAATGTCAGAGTTGGCTCTGATAATTTAGCTGTCTCATGTTAGTCACATTCTTTAGTGAGGAAAATATCTGTGAACACAATGATTCAGTAACCATGGGGACAAAAGTGAAGGGGGATAGGTTGAAAACTGTGGGATGAATAACTGAAAAGCATGAGAGACTGAGCAGTAGGGACCAAAGCTTTGAATTTTCTATGTACTGGCATCCTCACAGTATTGCAAAGAAGTAGAAAGAGGCCCCAGCTACGTCTTTAATGTTGCCTCCCTGTTGTACATACGCTTGCAAATGCAAACTCTGGCTCAGTCCCATAGGAAGTTTGGCTTTGCTGGGCTACTTATGAAAACAAATTTCTTACTCTCTGTTTTCTCTTATTGAAATGTTGCACATCATGAACGAAGTGCACGTATGTAAGTCTGGGGAAGGGATTTGATGAAGTGTGGAACTAAAAGGCTCATTCTGGCTGGGGAAGAGAGAGGCATGGGTGGGTGCTGAACTGGTTATCACTTTTTTAATAACAAATGGAGCCCCAGAATGCCTTTTTCTCTCCAATGGCATGGATGACACTGTGCTGAATGCATTAATCATTTATAAGGCTCCTTTGGCACAGTCCTGGAATCCTGAAACGCGGGCCCTGGGCTTTGCTGTCTGTGGCACTGACTCAAAATCCATTAGAGACTGTTGATGCTCATGATTTATTGTATATGAGCAAGGGTCATTCTTGCCAAATAAGTGTCTTTTGTGATTTATAAATGAAATACACTCTAGCTTCATTTTCTGAGAAAATTCTCAGAGTAAGTGCATTTGACATTGCAGGCTCTGGATTAATTGGGAGTGAATGGTAATGCATTATTATCCTTCCCATTTAAAGCTACCATTCTGTGACTTCGTTACTGTAATGAAAATGGTGCTGTATGTTCTCAGACCTCAAATATTCCAGCAGTTCCCAAACTGATTTCTACTCATTTCAAGTGTCGCAAGGAAAATGGGCATGATGAACAATTAGCATACCAGGCAGGGATGGAAGAGCTGCTAAGCTTATTCTTTATCTGATTTTTCTGCCTGCTGGTGGATAGCTTTTCTCTCATGCCAGAGTATGCCCTTTGCTTTGATCACCTTCATGAGAATTTACTCCACGTATTGAATAAGCTGGACCCAGTCTTCAACTTCTGATGGAAGGATGTGGGGAGAGGGACTTGGCAGCCTGACCTGTTATCTGACCTAACCAGCTGTGCCCAGGCTCCGTTTCAGGCTGCATTTTCTAAATCTGAGCCTCTGCTTGATAGCTGAGGAAAGCTGGCCAGGAGCTGTCTGTTCAGTGGAGCACTTTCACCAAGGCCAGAGGCCTCCAGGAACTTCTGTCACCTTTCCTAAAGCCATCTGCTTTGCCAGATCTGGGAGCTCAAATTGTTCCTATAGAAAGGGAATGAACTATTCTGAGGTTTAATGACTGTCACTGAAGGACCTAAAATAATAGAGAAAATTAGAGTAAGTGTACTTATTCTTTTTCTTCAGACTTGTGCCACTCAATGCAAAGTTTTTTTCCATTTACATGTAAGAAATACAGGCTCCCTTCACGTTCTCTTTAAAAAGTCTAGAAAATGGCTACAAATGGAGGTTCTCCCCAAAACCCAACACAACCCCTCTGTAAGCTGTGCCCTGTCGTCTCACTCCTGCTCCAGCAAGGTGGGCTTTCTTGCTGGCTCTCAGGATTGTTTGTGTATTAAAATTTTCTGCACAACACCTAACCTGACTCCTCCACGACAGCTTACTGCAGAACTTCTCATGGTTGTACTGGGACTGGTTAAATACTGAGAGTGTGAGTTGTTGTTCAGTTATGTTTGGTTTTGTGCGTGGTGTGGGGTTTTTTTGTTGTGTTTTGGTTTTTTTGAAAAGGGAATTATGTGATGTACATCAGGGTGGAAAACAGCATTCAAATAAGAGAAGAAGAATTCCCCAGACCTTAGTTTTTGTTGCTTATTTATCCATATCTTTTGACTCATCTGTCTGGCTTTTGAACTAACCACCTCATGGCAAGCAGTGTCTTATTTATGTGTGATGCTTCACCCTGTACGTGACTGGAAAGAACACTCAGTTAGATTTTTATTATACCCCCTCTAAGAGCCTCCAGATTTCTATGATGAGGCATCAGGTGGCTGTTGAAGCCCCAGGCTCGCTGCCTTGTTACCCCCCAACGCTAGCAGAGGGGTGTCTGCTCCTTTCCTATAATGCACCGTCCTCGTGCGAGGTGCCGTGAGGCAGCACTCCAGTTCTTCCCCGGGGTCAGACTGTGCAATCAGTGCCCAAACCACCTCACCCACCAGTCCGTTTAACCCGGAGGCACTCACTGTGCTGTACTCCCCTGTGCTCGCTTTGCCCAGTGGGAAAACCACTATGTACGTAAACTGAGCACTCGGGACTTCTCCTTCTACCAAATGAAAAAATATTTAACAGGTAGTTATTTAATAAAACTCTTCATTTTTCTCTCTCTGGCCTTACAAGATATTTTAAAGGATCAGTTCCTCCCGCTTCCTGTGACTTTATTTGCCTGTATATCCCTCTGAAATACTTGCTGTGGTCTTTGTGGATGCTTCCTCCTCTTCCTGGGATAATGGTTTTTGCATGTTCCTGCTTATTTTTATCATTCTCCCAGTCTCCCTTAATAGTTCGGTAGTTGATTTTTGCTCTTGTTTTTTACACAGCATTCCTCCTGTACTTTGGTGTACTCACAATATCCATTTTTAACCATGGAGGACTCCCTGGTGCTCACTTCTGTCTGCATTTCTCCTGGATGAAAATGAGGTGCAGATATTTTCTGGAGTAGCTGTTACATTTTGTTGTATGGTAGTTTCCCTTTCCTCAGGAAAGAAATGCAGCTCTCCAGAAGCCAAGCAGAACTGTTGCTTTTTTTCTTGGGACTTAGTGTCCATGTCAGGGCAGTAGTGGCTAGCAGTTGCCCAGCGTTCTCGTTCGGGCTTTTAACTACTCTCTCACAAAGGCTAAGCTTGGGAAGCTGGTTTCCGTCACCCACAACCCAGCTAGCAGCTCTGGGTTTCCAAAGCAGAAGTCCCTCCCTTAGCTGTGTGGGGTTTTTTGGGTTTTTTTTAAACTAACCAAGCTAGTTAGGATCTGTGGCTGTCTCACCAATTTGTACCTCTTGGGACAACTAGCCTGGCTGTAATAGCCATAAACTAGACTTCATGGCATCCTGAAAAGTCACAGTTGTTCCATGCTTTACCATATAAACAAGTAACAAATTAGACCAACTCAACTTCTTAATTAACTTATATGGTCTTGGAAATCCTCTGATCACCTGGACCGTTCCATCAACTCCACAAGAACATTGCCCTCTCTGCCTTTTAGGAGGAAAAGAAATCCTTTCTTCTCTTAGTCCTTACAAATTATTTCCCTGATCAATACTTGAGCAATTAATGTGGCATGGAGGGGGGAGTGGGAAGCCTGCTCGTCTTACAGACTCCTCTGCATGTGCTTGTTTCATCTATTTTTCTCTTGCTGTCCTGAAGGCTGAAGAAAAACACGATGACATCACCCACTTTGCAAAAATCTTCTCTGCATATCTGCATGTCAAGTGGGATGTGCACTTCCTCTCCTCCTCACTGCCTCCACTTCCCGCTTGTCCCTGTCCTGCGGGGAGCTCAGCTGCAGCAATCCCTCGGTTCTGGCAGGCCATTTCTCACCCTTTCCCCTGTTCCTACTATGTCTTTGCCAGTGCAATAATATCACATTTATCCTTGAAAACATGCAACTCCAATTCAGTAATCTTATTATGCCTGCCTCTACATCTGTTGAACAGCTTTTCTCGAGCTGCCCACTGGTCTCTGCTGCTAATCTCTGCATGCATTGCTTGGGGATCGGGGAGGTTGTTCTGTAAGCACTTTCCTTATTATTGTTGATAGTAGTGACAAAATAAGAATGATAAAGCCTCTTGGAGATGCATTCGCTACATCTAGAGCATTCTTCCCCCACATGGGCTTTCTATTCCTGGCCCTCCCTTATGGCATGCATTTTTCATTCATCTCTAAACCTGCCTGAATTGAGCATTCAGAAGAGAAAACCCCTCTCCCTAATCGCAGGGGTCACATCTTAGCCAGGTCTCGTCTGTCTCTGAGACTCCCATCACTGTGCAGATGTTGACTTTGTCTGCTAAACCCAGATTGCCCATATCTTGCTTGTACCTGTGACTTTCATTTTTCTGATGCAGCTACTGCCTTGGCTTTTCTGCCATATATAGGAGACTTTTTTTTTTCTTCATCCAAAGTAAAATC